TCCCGGTGCCTCACGGGCCAGCCATGGTGCTGGGAACTAAGAGGTGCAGAAGAAATGGAGCAGAGTCTTGGCCCTGGAGGGACCAGGGAGAATGGTGAAAAGGTTGCTCACTAGTGCCCTGGGGCAGGGTCCTCTTTTTCTTTTTTTTTGAGACTGAGTTTCAATCTTGTCACCCAAGCTGGAGTGCAATGATGAGGTCTTGGCTCGCTGCAACCTCTGCCTTCCAGGTCCAAGCAATTCTCCTCCCTCAGCCTCCTGAGTAGCTGGGATTACAGGCGCCTGCCACCATGCTCAACAAATCATTGTATTTTTAGTTGAGATGGAGTTTCACATTGGTCAGGCTGCTCTTGAACTCCTGAGCTCAGGTGATCTACCTGCCTTGGCGTCCCAAATTGCTGGGATTACAGGTGTGAGCCACCACACGCAGCCGGTCACAGATGGGCAGCAAAGCATCCAGGAGCAGCTGGATAGAACATGTTCTGGGCTGGGTGCGATGGCTCATGCCTGTAATCCCAGCACATTTAGAGGCTGAGGCGGGTGGATCACTTGAGGTCAGGAGTTCAAGATCAGCCTGGCCAACATGGTGAAACCCTGTCTCTACTAAAAATACAAAAAATAGCCGGGCGTGTTGGCAGCTGGGCCTGTACATCCCAGCTTCTCGGGAGGCTGAGGCAGGAGAATTGCTTGAACCTGGGAGGCAGAGGTTGCAGTGAGCCGAGATTGCGCCACTGCACTCCAGCCTGGGTGACGAAGGGAGCCTCTGTCTCAAACAGCAATAAAAAAAATGTTTTCTGATCTAGCATCAGGGCAGAGCTGTTCCTGTTAAGAACACGGTGCACTTGTCGCTCTGAGTCCTTTCGGTGCACATCCCCTTGCTGCCTGCAGGTGCTTTCATCAGCATCACCCCATTCTGTCCTCATCAAACCCGGGTGATGCCGGCTCAGCAGAGTGGAACTGCCCATATTGACTCAACACCTACAGAGGCCCAAGGTTCAAGGAGAAAGGGACTACAGGCTTTGGAGAGGAGAGGGAAGCACAGCACGCTGAGATTTCAACACTATTTCCTATGGGGAAGCCAGAGCTGAGTTCCAAAAAATCATGCACACTTCTGGATTGGAATCTTCTGGGAGCTGCCAGCAAGAAATGAGGCTGGCAAGATGGAGTGGGGACTGAGCTGTGCTCTTGGCAGGTAACGGGGTTTACCATTTTCTGTCACAATTGTTCATCTATTTCAGGTGGGACCTTGGTAGTATGGTCATAATTTTTAGCTGAGAATATTTATCTTTTAGAGGTTTGTACTCAAGAATTTGAGGGCTGTGTGCGCTAGCTCACTCCTGTAATCCCAGCACTTTGGGAGGCCGAGGTAGATGGATTACCTAAAGTCAGGACTTCAAGACCAGCCTGGCCAACATGGTGAAACCCCGTCTCTACTAAAAATACAAAAATTAGCTGGGCATGGTGACCCATGCCTGTAATCCCGCTACTCGGGAGGCTGAGGCACAAGAATGGCTTGAGCCCTGGAGGCAGAGGTTACAGTGAGGTAAGCTCTTGCCACTGTGCTCTATTCTGGGGGACAGAGTGAGACTCCATTTCAAAAAATTTTTTTTGTGTGGACATAACGGTAGGATTTCTGAATTTACTTTAAAATAAGCATGAGAACAGGGAGGAGGAGCACGCACGCAGGCGTACACCGTGACTCTATTTCATAACTGCTGAATTTGAGTTGTGGTTGTATAGGCCTTTATTATGCTATTTTGGTTAATGTTTTTCAAAGGTTTGGATTTTTCTAAATATTAGCCAGACATGGTCGGACTTGCGTGTGGTTCCAGCTACTCAGGAGGCTGAGGTGGGAGGATTGCTTGAGTCTGGAATGTCAGCACTGCAGTGAGCTGTCATTTTGCTACTGCCCTCCAGCCTAGGCAACAGAGAGAGATCCTGTTTCAAAAACGAAGGAAGGAATGAAGACCTCTCAACCCCACAGGTCTCCCGCAGGTTTGCATTGTTCCATTAAGATGTATTTTTAGAGTAAAAACAAGAGAAATCTTAGCGATACATAATAAAAACATTACATGCATTAAAAAGAAACGTCTCCTTGTAGCTATGGCAGGCAACTCCTACTGTATTCAAACTGGAGCAGAATTTGTAAAAAAAAAACAAGGCTTGACAAAGACTATTCTAGTTTCCCAGGCCAGGCTTGGAGATGCTTTTGGCCCCAGGGAACTGAGGCTCAGGCGCGGAGCTCCCCGGGGGGCCTGGTTCTCTGGTTATTTATTAATAGACCTAGCTAGGCGGCCCGGGGAGCCGCAGACCGGAGAAGGAGAGCTGCCGTGTGGCGGGCAGGAGGAGAATGAGGCCTCCGCAGCGCAGCCACAGTCGCAGGCTGCCGCCCCCGAGAGCCCCGCCACAAGGGCACAGGTGAGCCTGGCGCCTCGGCGCCCCCACAGACCAGTCCCTGTCCATGCCCCTGCCCCTGCCTCCGCCCTGCCTGGCCTGCAGGTGGCACCGAGGCAGCGCACAGGGAAGGGCGCATGGTCTAGGCCGAAGAGCTCTGGAAACAGGGCGCGGGGCCAATCCCAGCTGGGCGCGCACCGGGCGCTGAGCGAGGGAGGAAGTGACCTTGGGGCGGGGACCTGCCGATTGCAGGGGTTCCAGGGAAAGAGGGAAGGGCATTTGAGGTGAGAATGACAGTCCAGCTTACGTAGCGCAAGCCGCGAAGGCCCACGCACAAGGAGAGTCCCAGGCGCCAGAGCCGCCAGGGTCCGTGGGGTGCAACCGCGCGTCGGGCATGTGTGCCCCGGCCCAGCTCACTGGCCTTTTGGGGCAGTGAAGTCTGTGGCGTTGGAGTGCCTGGGCTCACTCGTGGTCCAGACAAGAGCCAGCAGGGGGACGAATCCCCAACTTCTAACCTCAAATAAATGCAAATTAAAAGGAGGGATGAGAGATTTTTCCCTCCTCCACCCCTCCTTTTAGTATTGGCAAAGATTAAAATAATCCATAATTGGAGACAGGGCCCGGCTTGCACGCGCGGGTGGCAGCGGAAGCTGGTAAGCTTTTCCACGTGGTAGCTTGGCCTGTGGGGCCAAAATGTCGCAGGTGCCTGGATGCTTCCCTTCCAGGGATCTATCCCACAAGAGAGCCAGGAGCTCCAAATAGGTACGTCGACGGCCAAAGCAGCTTTTATTATTTATTTATTTATTTTGAGACAGAGTCTCGCACTGTCGCCCGGGCTGGAGTGCAGTGGCTCGATCTCAGCTCACTGCAACCTCCGCCTCCCGTATTCACCCGCTTCTCCCGCCTCAGCTTCCCAAGTAGCTGAGATTAAAGGTGTACACTACTACACCTGGCTACTTTTTTGTATTTTTAGTAGAGACAGGGTTTCACTATGTTGGCCAGACTGATCTTGAACTCCTGAACTCGTGATTCGCCCGCCTCGGCCTCCCAGAGTGTTGGGATTACAGGCTTGAGCCACTGCGCCCGGCCAGCTTTTCTTTATACCTGCAATGGTGGGGTGGAGGGTGGGGAGGAGGGCCTAATTGTCCACTGGGGGGCCGCGTAAATGGATCGCAGCATCGTCAAAGGAAGTCTTATGCTGCCTTGGGAAGGCCGGCGGTCATCTCCGTCCTTCCACGGAGAACTATGTCCGCAACTTAAGTGGAAATAAAACAGGCTTACAGACAACTTGCAGCCTAGCCTTGCTTTAAAACAGCGAGCCTGGGAACCGCAGCAAGAGTTAACTGCAGCGGTGGTGGGGGGCGGGATCAAAGGAGAACTTTCGTTTTCTCTTCTAAATTCTTCGGCGGTAACGACCAAATAATACAGAGAGAAGGGTGGTTGCAAACTTGGATTTTTCGTAACCAGAGAAGTAGTCGACCTTAAAAAGAGCCAGGTTCCTGCACTCCAGCCTTTTTTGACTCCGGGAAAAAAAAAGCCCTGTTTATGAGTTTTATGAACATAAAGGTTTAAAAGAGACTTTGTTTATAAAATCGGTGCATTTATGGAGCACCTGCTGTATGCAGAGCAGCAGGAAACACTGGAAGCACTGCGGGCAAAGATAGGGGAAGAGTGGCTCCCGGGCGGAAAGAGCTCCCCGCTCCGCCCCGCCTGCTCTGGTTAGGGCCCCTCTCCCTCTCTCCCTCTCTCTCTTCCTCTCAACCCCCCAGGTCTCCCGCAGCTGCGCTCCGCCTAGACCCCTGGGATCGGCGTGTGTTCAGTTCCCGCTCCCGGCCCCTCTCCCGAGCTCGAGTACAAGGGTCTCTTGGTCACTCTGCCCTAGGCCCCAGCCACTTCTCTCCCGGCACCTATTATGTTCTTGAAGTTGGAAGAATTATTTTAGTAAATGTTATCAAAGCCCCCGCAAGGGAGGCGTTTTATCCCAGCTAGATGAGGAGGAGCCACTCTGCCTCCAGATCGCGATGACGGTCACTCGTGGTTTAAGCCCGATAAAAGTGGCTTATCACTTTTTCCTTTTATTTTTAGAGACTGGGGTGTCTCGCTACGTTGCCCAGGCTGGCCTCGAACTCCCGGTTTCAAGCGATCTTCCCGCCTCAGCTTCCTGAGTAGCTGGGATTACAGGCGCGTGCCACCACGCCGGGGGGATCCGTCGCTCCTCAGCGTTGGTGACGTTGGCCAATTTATTTCCTGGCCTGCGACCTTCGTCTGCATAAAAGAGTAGGGGGTGAAGACTACCGGGGATGCCCGGGACATTATAAGCGGTGATGCGGCTAAACCGCGAGTCTGAGTTAGGCACCGAGCTCAGCTATTGTAAGCGCGGCCTCCAGGAGATGACTCATTTCACGGATGAGGAAACTGAGGCTCGGAGGGCGAGGAATCTGGTCCTAGGCCCCATTCTGACAGAGGTCGAGGCCGCGAGCACCTGCGCAAGCCTCAGTTTCCCTCCCCTCCGCGCCCCGCCCGCGCCCGGCCCCGCCCACGCCCCGGACCAGCCCTCCCTCCGAGCGCCCGGAGTCCCCCGCCCCCCGGCGCCACGGCCGGGTCCGCCTCAGCCAATCCGCTGCCGGCGGCGTCGGGTGCGCTCGGCCTCACCCGCGGCCCTCCTTCCCGGCGCCCGCTCGCCGCTCGCTCACTCCGCTGCCGCCGCCGCCGCCGCCGCCGCCGCAGCTGCCGCACCTCCGTTGCTGACTCGGTGAGGCTCGGCCGCGCGGTGGGGAGGGTGGCGGGGCGGCCCTGCCGGCTGCTGGGGTCGGGAACGGGCGGCGCGCGGGGCTGCCGGCAACCGGACCGGGTGGAGCCTGGGTGCCGAGAGGAACCCCAGCATTGCCCCCGGACGGCGGGGTTGTGGAGATCCTGAACCTGGAGAGGGGCGGGGGCTCTCCATGTCCGGCAGGGGATTGGGTCTGGGGGTTCGCCGGGGGTCGGTCCATCCGCAGGCGGGTCCCCTGGGACCCGTGGAGGGATGCTTGGCCCTGTGGACTTGGCTGGACGCCTCCGGCCCGGGGCCAGCGGGGCCACCGGCTCCCTTGTCTCCCACGCCCTAATCCGCCCGGGACTGGATTGAGCCTGAAGGCCTGCCCTGGGGTCAGTCTGCCTGGGGGCCGCTCCGGTGCGACCACTGGAGGGATGCTGGAGTTCTGGAGGCCTTCCTGGATGCCTTCGCCCGGGGCCTATAGAGCTGCCGGCTCCTGCCCCTGCCCATCGCACCCGGCTCCTGGAAAGGATTGGGTCTGGGGTCCGCCCGAGCGTCGGTCACCAGAGGGCAGGTGCAGTGCGGCTGAGGAAGGGATGCTCAGCCCTGGGGATTAGGCAGGGCGCCGCTGACCCCATCCCAGCGCGCGTGCCCCCGGTCCCCCTCCCCACGACCGCCCCCGCAGTGCAGCCGTCGGGACACGCCCTTGGCGCAGTGACTCCAGACGCGGTCAGAGCGCGGCAGTGAGCAGCGTGAGGGTGCGGGCCCCGGGCCTGCTTGGGAGCGCCCCCCGGCCTCTCCCGTGCAGCGCTGGGTCAAAGGCAGGTGGGCGCGGAGCATGTACCCAAGGTCGCACCGGGGCCGGGGGAGGGTGGTGGTGTCACGTGGCCGGGTCCGGGCGAACTTGGCCTGCGAGCCCGACGGCGCGGTCAGGGCCACGCGGGGCAGCCCCTGCTCGGAGCCACGCCGCGGCCAGCCAACAGCCGGCTTCTTTCGCTTTGTCAGGAAAGGCCGTGGGTCAGCGTCTTTATAATGTAAATCCACACTTTCCACACTTGGCTTTTGTTAAAGCCGCAGGACTCAAAGCTGAGGGCTGATCTTACTTTAAAACAAAAAAGAACTCCGAGAGTTAAAAATCCCAGCTACCTACCAGGTTAAATAGGTAACAAAGTTAATATTCCCAGCTCGGCACAGGGTTTCGGTTCCTCTCTGCTCCGTGTGTTATGAAATATTTAAGAGCAGATTTTAGTAGGAAGCCGGTAACTGTAAGTTACCGAATAAAATGAAAATCAGTTTTACCTTTTGCAACGGTGTATTTTGTTACACAATTTTGTTCCACAAGTGTCCGGTTTCTGGTCATTCCAGATATGCAAGCATGTTTATTTCCTTCTAAGCCACAAACCAAGTCAGTAAAAAATGGCTGAGCACGGGTCTTTTATTTATGCCAGGAAGCAACCCCCCTTGCCCCCCATCCATGCCTTTCCAAATTCTTTAAGGCGACTCTGACCGAGTGAACCTAGCAATAAATTGAGGACATTAGTGTTGCCGAGAATGCACATCGCTCCAGCTGTCAGTTGGCCTGGGGACCATCAGCATTCACAGCTGGCTCTTCGGGTTGGTTTTGCCTCAGTACCAAGTGCCTGTGGACTGCTTTTCGCATGTAAATTACTGGTTTCCTTCCTGTGCAGCATTGCTAGATTAGATACTGCCCTTGAACTCCATCTTAACAGTTGGAATCAAACAGTAAAAAGGGCAGGTTTGGGAGTGCATATACTTTGTATCAAAGTGGCAGAAATTGGCATTGTGCACAAGCCAAAATAACGTTTCGAGTTTGTACTAAAAACAAGCCGCCTGCCCTGGAGTTCCCGGGAAGCGAATGAAACCTGGTCCCTTCCGTTGCTGCTGCGGCTGCTGCGTTGGCCCCGGCCCCAGACCGGTGGTCACCAAGCGGTCAAGCTGGGCCTCCAGGGAGTCCTGGAGCGAGGGCCTGCCCTTACCCAACCCTGGCCCCGGGTGCCCATTCACAAAAACACCGTCAATTTTCACAGTGAGCCCCTTGGAGACGCGCCCTGGGCTCGTGAGCGCAGTGCCTGTGTTTCTGGCTGGTTGGGTGCAGCATCAGTGATCAGAAGCACTGAGCATCGAGCTGTCCCCAAAGTTGGGCACCGCAGGGCTCGACCTTCACACGGAAGGGTGCGTTGCATTTCTCCCGCTGTCGCTGGGGTGGCCACAGGGACGCGCGCCAGCTCGCTCCGGAAGGTCTCTGTGGGCACGGCGGGTGGAACAGGATCCGAGCGCCTGGGACGCGCCAGCCCGGGGGCGGGGCTGCTGCTGACCTTTCCCCTACTTTTTCTCAGCCGTCACGTGACGCCGCCCGGGGCTGGGGGGAAGGGGCGGGGCGCGAAGCCGCAGTTGCTGGCGGTGCTCTTCCGAGGACGCGTTCCAAGCGAGCAATTAAACATGCTGCCCGAAATCTAAAGGCGCAGGGGCGGTGGCAGCGGCGGCGGGAGGCGGAAACCGGCGCCTGCGCGGGCCTAGGGCTGCTGCTGCACTTTGATCGTTTGCATTTTTTCCTTTGTTGGAAAAAATGTTTAGTCACTCTGCATGGTGATTATTGGCCGGCCAGAGTTTTGTTGAGGGTGGAAGCCTGAACTCGAATGTCGGAAGAATTGGTGCTTTAAGAATTAAAATGGCTGTTGGAGATTGTATGTTTAAAGTATGTTTTAGAGATTCTGTCTCACACTTGAGGCCTCAGTTGACTTCTGGCAGTCTTGAGCTTTTCTTGTGAGGACATTTTGTTTGTTTTTACAAGTAAGGGATACAAGCACAGGATGCAAAGTTAAAGGGGGACAGATGGCCCCTGCCGCGTGTCTCATGCCTGTAATCTCAGTGCTTTGGGAGGCCAGCGTGGGAGGATTGCTTTGAGGCCAGGAGTTCGAGACCAACCTGGGCCACATAGCCAGACCCCTGTCTCTGCAATTAACAGGTGGAGTGCATCTGTGGTTCCAGCTACTCAGGAGGCTGAGGTGGGAGGATGGCTTCAGCCCAGAAGGTGGAGACTGCAGTGAGCTCTGATTGCACCACTGCACTCCAGTCTGGGTGACAGAGCCAAACCCTGTCTCTCTATATCTTTTTTTTTTTTTTTTTTTAAAAGGTGCAGATACAGGGCAGAGTCCTTCTCACTTGGTTCTCCTCTCCAGATGCCACCACTATTAACAGTTTCTTTGACAACATGGACAGGGTATGTTTTTTAAACAAATTGGTTACTTAACACAAGTAAGGACTTTTTTCTACTTGCTGACTTCAAATATTTGTTACCTTGTGTCAATTTCAACTTTTACCCCGTTTAGATGTTGGGTGAAGGTTGGGGCCCGAAGGCCCTGGGCTGAGGGCACCTGCCCTATTTGGGTGACAGCCTCAGTTCTGAGAAGTGTCTGTCTTTGCCTTTCTTTTGTGCAGATTGTTCTTGGGTACAGGAACGTCTTTGGAAATTAACCATGAAAGGAATCGTGCTGCTGAGTGGGGCGTGCCTCTCTGGGGTGTGCAGGAGGGTCAGGGTCACCTTGGAGGGTTGGGTGGTTACCGCTCTGCTTTCTGAGCCATCTGGGCTAGGCACTGGACGCCAAGTTCTTTAAGTTAAGAAAGGAAGGCTCCATACTCCTGATGTTGCTGGTTTGTGGGCCCCAGCCCAGGAGCTGGAGGGCCATCCTGCATTCTTCCTGTTCCCGAAGCCCCCACATGTGGCGGGGGCTAAATGCCGCCACTTCTTCCTAACTCACTCTTATGCTCGCCTTCTTCATGATTTCAGTGGCTAGAACAGACATTCAGATATGTGTTAAGGAATGACAGAACGTTGGAGACATCTTTTCTTTTTCTTTTTTTTTTTTTTTTGAGAAGGAGTCTTCCCCTGTCGCCCAGGCTGGAGTGTAGTGGCGTAAT